TTATGCCTTTATAATGCCCTGACATATTGGCAGCATTGTCATGAGACTGGCCTCTGCACTTAGAAAAATCAATTTTGCAAACTTCACATAAATAATAATGTACTTGATTTGCAATTTCTTCACTGGTATGACTTTTTAAATATTAAATTTTGCATCTTCCTAATGCGCCTAATACCTCATTTATTAGCATACATAGAGTAATATCAAGCACCGTGTCCCAAGCAATAGACAATAAAAAACAAAACTCACTTGATACATAAATTAAAACTTTTGTGTTAGATAAATATTAATATTTCCAGTATTTTTGGATGTTTGCTATGTTAGTATTAAATTATTACCCATGTTAATATTATATTAAATTATGCTAGATTGTGTTCGTGTGTACGCCAAACTTATTTTAAAGTTAAAGTTACAGATATTATTGTTTACAAAACTTAGGACATAACTCTTTACATAAATGCTATACAGTTAAAAAGTAACTTGATTGAATTCATTGCAATGGTTGACTTATTCAAGTTTCCTAGTTTTTGTGTGTTATCTGGGACTGGAGTTCCCACTGGTTGTTTACCAAGATGTGTGCAAGAGCATACGCTTGTGTTTGTGTCATCGCAAAGAGCATTGCTGGCCTTCCTGGCTGGAAGTGCTAGATCAGCAGACGTGGATGTACAAGACAATTCTCTCAAAATGGATCAGAGACCTGTTACCTATTAATATAACCCATCCTTGTTTAGTAACCGTTCATGTTGGATCCAGTTGTATGTTGGTTAAATGGCAAGAGTTAGACTTGACAGCTCACCCTCATCTCTTGTTTATTAGAAAGAAATAGCATACTCCCAAGAGACCCTCTGAGACAAGGAGTTTCAATTACATTCGAGGGGACCATAGGAGACAGATGTTAACAAAGGTGTTGAAGTAGTAGGGGCCTCATAGCTTAAACAACCTTGCGCGTGGGCGCCCTTGTGACCCTGCGTGGACTTTATTTCCAGCCGGCCGTCTCACGCACTGGAGCTGGTATTAGTTTCATTTAGTGCCCTGGCAGTTCACTCCCACTGCAGCGCTCACTTTTCCTTGTGTCCTGTCTATTTGGCATCTATGGTCCTTGCTTTGGACAACCGGTGCTCCTGCTTTGCTGATGCCCTCAGCACGTGCTTACCTTGCTTATTGGGTGATCCATCCCTGGGGACAAGACAAGGATACCTGCTCTCACCATTGCTATTCAGGATTGTACTGGAAGTCCTAGCCACCACAATTATGCAAGAAAAATAAATAAAAGGTATTCAAATGGAGAAGGAAGAAATAAAACTTTCCCTTTTTTCATAGGACATGATCCTATATATAGAAAACCCCACAGCTTCCACAAGAAAACAACAAGAGCTAATAGTACATGAATTCAGAAAAGTAGCAGGCTGTAAGATCAATACACAAAAAACAGTTGGGTTTCTAACAACGTAATTGTAAATTAAGGAAATAATTCTGTTTGTAATAGCACCTAAAAGAATAAAATATTTAGGAATAAATTTAACCAGAGAAGTGATTATTACTCCTCCATAAAGAAAAATGAAGTCCTGATACATGGTACCACACGGATGAACCTTGAAAACATTATATTGAGTGAAATAAGTCAGTCACAAAAGGACAAATACTGTATGGTCCTATTTATATGAAATATCTAAAGTAGGCAAATATATGGAGATCAAATTTCATTAATAGTTACCAGAGACAGGAAGGAGAAGGAAAGGGGAGTCATTGCCTAGGAGACACTGAATTTTTGTTAAGGGTGATGGAAAAATTTGAAAATGGGTGGTGGTGATGGTTGCACAACATGATGAATATGATTAATGTCACTCAATTGTACATTTTAAAAATGTTGAAAAGGCAAATGTTTTGTTACACATATTTTTACCACAATAAAAGATAATAATGCTGCAATTAACATTGGCGTACAAGTATCTATTTGAGTCCCTGCTTAAAATCCTTTCAGGTGTAGACCTAGGAGTGGGATCGCTAGGTCATATAATAATTCTGGAGCCCTAGCGGCTCAGTGGTTACGAGCTCAGCTGTTAACCAAAAAGTCAGCAGTTTGAACCCACCAGCCGCTCCTTGGAAACCCTGTGGGGCGGTTCTACTCTGTCCTATAGGGTCACTGAGTCAAATTGACTTGACAGCAATGGGTTTGGTTTTTTTGTTTGTTTATTTTGTTTTTAATTATTATTTTTTTATTGTACTTCAGGTGAAGGCTTACAGAACAAATAGTTTCTCATGAAACAGTAGCACACATATTGTTTTATGACATTGCTTAACAACCCCACAACATGTCAACCCTCTCCCTTCTTGACCTTTTTTTTTTTTTTTTTTGGTGAAAATATACATAGCCAAAGATACACCATTTCAAAAATTTCTACATGCACAGTTCAGTGACATTGACTACGCTCTTCCAATTGTGCTGCTATTCTCACTTAAGATGAAGGCTTACAGAACAAAATAGTTTCTCATTTAACAGTTACTACAAATGTTGCCATATGACAATGGTTAACAATCTCACAACACATCAGCAATATCCTTACTTAACCTTGGGTTCCCTATCACCAGCTTCCTTGTCCCCTTCTGCCTTCTGGCCCTTGTCACTGGACTACTGTACCTCAGTAGTCCCATTTGGTTTTACGGGGCTGTCCACTCCCCAGTTGAACAGTGAACCTCAGAGATAACTTCACCACTGAGCTGAAAGGGTGTCTGGGGGCCATACTCTCAGGGTTTCTCCAGTCTCCTTTAGGGCAGTAAATCCGGTTTGGTTTTTTATAGTAATTCTATATTTAACATGGTGAGGAACTGCCAAACTGTTTTCCACAGAAGCTGTAACATTTTGCATTCCCACCAGCAATGTGTGAGGGTTCCAATTTCTCCATATCTTGGCCAACATCTGTTGTCTTCTGCTTTTGTTTGTTTCGAAATCTTGTTTGTTTTACAATCACAGCCATCCTGTTGTTGTTACTTAACTTTGAGTCAATCCCCACTCACGGCAACGTCATGTGTGCAGAGTAAAACTGCTCCATAGGGTTTTCAAGGTTATCACCTTTCAGAAGCACATCACTAGGCCTTTCTTCTGAGGTGCCTCTGGGTGGGTTTGAACTGCCAACCTCTTAGCTCGTAGTCGAGTGCCACCCAGGGACTTCTAAAGTCATCCTAGTAGGGGAGAAGTACTATCTCATTATGGTTTTGATTTGCATCTCCTATGACTAATATGTTGAACATCTTTGCAAGTGCTTGTTGGCCATTTGTATATATTCTTTGGTGAAATGCCTATTCAAGTCCTTTGCCCATTTTTGATGGGGCTGTTTATGTTTTGTTGTTAATTTGTCTAATTTCTTTATATATTCTGGATATTGTTGTTAGCTGCCGTCAAGTCAACCCCTGACTCACGGTGACCCAACGTCTTACAGAGCAGAACGGCTCCACAGAATTTTTTTGGTTGTAATGTTCACAGAAGTAGTTTGCCGGACCTTTCTTCTGGAAGTGGCTGGGTGTGTTCAAACCATCAAACTTCAGGTTAGCAGCCAACTGCAAACCGCTTTCGTCACCCAGGCTCCTGTTTATTCTGGATATTAAAACCTTGTCATATAAATGGTTAGCAAATATTTTCTCCCATTCTTTCACTGTCTCTTCACTGATAAAATCCTTCGTTGCTTAAAAGTTTTTATTCCTGAGAAAGTCCAATTGTTGGACTACTTTGTCATTTGTGGCTCTTGCATACGGAGTCATACCTAACAATTTGCAAAACAATATACTTTGTAGCCACCAGAGAGCTTCAGCCTTTAGCAATGTTTGAGAGAGAAGGACTTTCTACTTCAAAGATCATAAAATGAAAATTTTAATATACAGACTTTTAAAAATATTTATTGGTCTGATTGTGCTTCTAGAAGGTATATCAATTTAATCTTAAGTAAAAAAAATTTACAAATGGACATACATTATGACTCCATTTTTGTAAAAAAAAAAAAAGTCAATATATGCATAGAAAAGGATTAACGGTGAGGGGTTATAGGGTTCTGATACTTTTTTTCCAAAATATATTTTCTACCAGTAACTATGTTTCTTATGTAATAAACAAAAGACAAACTTTTAGAAATGTTTCTGCAATTCTTAGTTTTGTATATATTTTCTCTATCTAAAACATTTTCCCAAACTCTGGAACTTAAATCCAGGTATTAAACTTCATCAAATTTCTTAAATCTAAAAATATGCACCCTTTGTATACTGAGGAGGACATAATAATCCATAATGCAGATAGTGGGGAAGTAAAAGTAGTTTCCACCGTTCTCAACCCCTCTTATCTTTCTTATTAAATCATTTTTGTCCTTGTAAATAACTCGAAATAACTCGTTTCTGGTCGTTCTGAGAAAGGCTTGTGAAGGAAGAGAATCCCCAAACTACAGAAGACAGGAAAAGATGCATCCCAAAATGCACCCATCCAGTCCGATCCCATTTTCCTCCTGGGATTTGGTCCTTGACAACTGATCACGTTTAGGAGATTGACTATTTTTCTAAAACCCAGCTGCATTCCACCCAGAAATTGAGAGGAAATGCGCCTGCCCGCGGACTCTGCATTCTTCCATCCGGACTCATCTTTGCTTTGGATCAGCAAGAATGACGAGTTTACCGTTTCTCAGTCCTCTAGTATTTTGTTTGTTTCATCGTGGTAAAAATAAATACAACACACTCTAAAATAAAAGGACACGGATGTTTTGGCTGACATTTCTTTCAACAGCTTGTAGCGCATTAACTGGTAATTAATTCGGCCGAGTCCCCCGAGAAGGCGCCGAACACCTCCTCGGCGGTAAGCACACTCCTAGCTCGCAAATTGCGACTGAGCAGCGTCACGCGCCTGGGAGCCACGGCGCCCGGGGGCCCCGCCCAGAGGCCGGTGCAGCCAATCGCGGGGCGGGCAGGCGGTATGGGCGGGGCGGAGCGGGGCGGGGCGGGCCACAACCCCGAGCTTTAAAGGCTGACCCCACGGCCCCCGACAAGCACTGTGGTTATCGGTGATCCCATGCTTGCTTCTGCTGACTACGCCTGCGCCAGCTGCAGCCTCAGTAGGTGAGCTCCCTGGGCTGGGGCCGAGTGGGGCGGGGGCAGGGCCTGGAGGAGGGACCCCTGTGGGGACACCGGCGAGGCGGCCGGCGCAACCCCCGGGACTAGAGGTACCCTCCCCAGACCTGCCGGCCCTGGCTTGCGGGCCCGGGGCGGCCGAGCCCACCCGGGCGGGTACCAGAGCGAGCAGGGTCCCGCAGCCGGGCTGCCCCGGGCCGCGCTGTGCCCGGGCCGGGCTAGAACGGGCAGCTTGACCCCGCGCGCCGGGTGAGGGGCCGGCGCTTCCTGCACCACGGTCAACATCCTCTGGGAAAAAGCGGAGGAGCAAGGGGCAGGTCTGGCACGCCCCCGGCCCAGCCTGCGACGCGTGGCGTGGGGCCCGGCCCGGGACTGAAACTCTGAGCCCAGGACTCCCTGCCCCTGGCCGGGCGCTTGGGCGGCACAGGCCCAAAGTGGGGATGGCAGGAGCGGTCGGGGAACCCCTTCCCCACTTTCTTGGGAAAGCACTTCAGAAAGGTTTCAGTTTGAGAAGGGGAGGTTGGAGCTGTCACAGTTCGGTCTGTTTCAATTACTGTAGCACTTATCCGCCTCCTATTCGTTTGGTGGCTGAATCCAGCACCTCCACTGTTAAGTCCTTGGCCTGTTTTTTTTCCCTCCACCCAGGTCCTTTGTCTTCTTCCACAATCTTTCCATAAATACTTTGGAAGATAATTTAAATGTTTTCACTCCATCATGGTGGCTGTAACTTCTCAGGAGGGAATAAGATGCCTTTTAGAAATTATTGGTTAATCAGATACTCATTTCTTTTCCCTTCCTAGGTTTTTGAAACATGAATCCTTCACTCTTTCTCGCTGCTCTTTGCTTGGGAATTGCCTCAGCTGCTCTAAAACATGATCAAAGTTTAGATGCACATTGGAACCAGTGGAAGTCAACGTACAAGAAACCATATGCCGTGGTTGGTATCACCTGAAACTGTCCAGAGCGACCTCAGAGAATGGACCTTGCTGGTTGGGAGTTGGGAGCCAGATGGGAGCTTCTAGGGGCCAGCCCTTACCAAAGCTGAACTTTATGGTGCTGGATCCTGAGCACAGTGTAGGCATGCTGTGTCGGAGCTGGGAGGGGACCACCCAGAGGCATAGAGCTATCTTTGGCCGTGGTTTCTCTTCCATCTGCTGATCCACTTGGTGAGGAGGGTTGGGTTTAAAGTGGAAATAAAGACGATCAGTTATGTTTGCCTCTAGCATGAAGAAGACTGGAGGAGAGCAGTATGGGAGAAGAACATGAAGATGATTGAACTGCACAATCGTGAATACAGCCAGGGAAAACATGGCTTCACAATGGCCATCAATGCCTTTGGTGATATGGTGAGTGTGCATTTATTGATGATGTAACTCTTTGCACTGCTCCTCCTCAGTACTTTATTAAAACACTCCCTTGCTTTTCCAACATTTTACTTACTTTTCTTTGAAGACCAATGAAGAATTCAGGCAGGTGATGAATGGCTTTCAAAACCAGAAACGTAACAAGGGGAAGATGTTCCATGAACCTGTCTTTGGTAATATCCCCAAATCTGTGGATTGGACTCAGAAAGGCTATGTGACTCCTGTGAAGAATCAGGTATGTCATGATGCAGATTCAGATCTATCTCAAATAGTAACAGCAAAAAGGAATTGACCTCTTTGCTACTCAATGGAGAGACATGCAATTCACTTTTTTCCCCCCTTGGAGAGTGTTCAGATACAGAGATGTTGTCAGTCTTTCTGTTTGTCTCACAAACTGACAATTTTTGAAATTACCTTTTCAGGGTGAGTGTGGTTCTTGTTGGGCCTTTAGCGCAACTGGTGCCCTAGAAGGACAGATGTTCCGGAAAACTGGCAAACTTGTCTCACTCAGTGAGCAGAACCTGGTGGACTGCTCTCAGCCTGAAGGCAATGAAGGCTGCAGTGGTGGCCTGATGGATTCTGCTTTCCAGTATGTTAAGGACAACGGAGGCCTTGACTCAGAGGAATCCTATCCATATCTTGCAACGGTACATGGAGCTCCATATCTGCTTGTCATCCCAGCTCTTTGGAAAGCTGAACACTTCCAAGGATAAGATGCCTTATTCAGCATTCACATTTCAAATGGTAGAATCTATATCTGCAGCTGTCAAAACTGTCACTATAAATTATTAGCCTTTGCACAGTTCTCTGGTTAGATAGTTAACCTATAGCTAGCTGTTCTTCTAGCTGTAATGTAAACAAAGAAATCAAACCAAACCCATTGCCCTTGAATCGATTCTGACTCATAGTGACCCTATAGGACAGAGTAGAACTGCCTGATGGGGTTTCCAAGGAGCAACTGGTGGATTCAAACTGCCAACCTTTTGGTTAGCAGCTGAGCTCTTAGCCACTGCGCCACCATGGAGAATAAATGTCTCCATAGGGAAAACAGCAGCAATATTTGGGGAGCCGGTTGGACGTAGGGTAACACACACCTCCCCCTTCACTAATTCTAGAGGGGTATCACTGAGGAGACACTAGGTGAATTTTCAGTTTCAAACCAACCAGTTGCATTTTACTTCCTGGGCTACAGTAAAACAAGGTTGACCTGCAGACTGCTGTGTCTTGGGGTTCTAGAACTCATCTTCATCCAAAGGTGGGTGGTAGTAATTGCATCTCTTTCCTGTTTACCTATAAAAGGACACACAAGACTGTCACTACAAGCCCGAGTATTCTGCTGCCAATGACACTGGCTTCGTGGACATCCCTCAGCAGGAGAAGGCACTGATGAAGGCAGTGGCAACCGTGGGTCCTATCTCTGTTGCTATTGATGCAGGCCAGACGTCCTTCCAGTTCTACAAGTCAGGTAGGCATCTTTCTTTTTATTATAGAAATTAGGCAGAAAATTTGGAGAACCATCATTACGTACCAGTGTGACTCTTTGGTATACACTATTCAGTGTAGAATTTTCAGTGTGTATTTAACATTCTGTATGGACTGTTTTTGCATCTGTTGTTTCCAGTTGACATTATCTTAAGCATAGTCCCACGATAAGCAGTTCATAAATATTTTTCAAAGGCTATGTAATTCTATAGGTATAGCTTCATTTACTTTTTCTCTAGTGTTTGGACCTGTAAGGTTTTTCCTAAGATTTTTACTTCTTTAATTAAAACTGAAAACCCTTTGGCTCAAATATTTTGTGTTCTGTGCTTTTTTGAATTCCCTGGATGGTGCAAGGAGCCCTGGTAGCTCAGTGGTTTAGCTCTCGACTGCTTAACCGGAAGGTCAGCAGTTCAAACCCACCAGCTGCTCTACAGGAGGAAGATGTGGCAGTCTGTTTCCATAAGGATTTACAGCCTTGGAAACCCCATTGGGCAGTTCTACTCTGTCTTACAGGGTCACTATGAGTCAAAATCGACTTGATTGCAGTGGGTTTTGGCTTTTGGTATAGGTGGTGCAAACGGATTGTGCTAGACTACTAACCCTAAAGGTTGGTGGTTCGAACCCACCCAGTGGCTGTGGAAAAAAGGTCTGGTAATCTGCTTCCATAGAGATTACAGCCAAAAAAAAATGGAGCAGTTTTACCTGTAATACATGAGTTTGCCATGAGTCAGAATCAGCTAGAGGACAACGGGGTGTTTTTATTTGTTTTTTGTTCAGTTTTGTTAGAATGGCATCCTAGGAGTAGAATGACAAGGTTTCAAAGATAAGTCTTTTACAATGTTTATGGAAAGGATTATGCTAATTTGTATTTCTGCTATTGTAGATGAGGGCCTAAATCCCCATAACCTTAATAAAAATAAATCTCATTATGGCTCATGTGGAATTCTGACATTCCCCTCAACTTTAGGATGCCTCCTTTAATGAGTTGATAGCGTGGGTTACTGCCATGATCACTTGGAGCTTCTTGCCCCAGCACTGATTTCTCTTCCAGGAATTTATTACGATTCGGACTGCAGCAGCAAGAATCTGAACCACGGTGTTCTGGCGGTTGGCTACGGCTTTGAAGGAACAGACTCAAAAAACAATAAATATTGGCTTGTCAAGAACAGGTAAACAATGCCAAATATTGTAATACATATATCTGAAATTGAAAAGGGAATTAAAAAAAAATTTTTTTTATTACTTTAGATGAAGGTTTACAGAGCAAACAAGTTTCTCATTAAACAATACACATACTGTTTTGTGACATTGGTTGCCAACCCCATGACATGTCAACACTCTCCCCTTCTCGACCTTGAGTTCCCTGTTACCAGCTTTCCCATCCCGTCCTGCCTTCTCATCCTTGCCCCTGAGCTGGTGTGCCCATTTAGTCTCATTTTGTTTTATTGGCCTGTCTAATCTTTGGCTGAAGGATGAACCTCAGGAGTGACTTCATTACTGAGTTAAATGGTGTCTGGGGGCCATAGTCTCAGGGTTTCTCCAGTCTCTGTCAGACCAGTAAGTCTGGTCTTTTTTTTTGTGAGTTAGAATTTTGTTCTGCATTTTTCTCCAGCTCTGTCCAGGACCCTCTACTGTGATCCCTGTCAGAGCAGTCAGTGGTGGTAGCCGGGCACCATCTAGTTGTGCTGGACTCAGTCTGGTGGAGCCCGTGGTAGTTGTGGTCCATTAGTCCTTTGGACTAATCTTTCCCTTGTGTCTCTGATTTTCCTCTTTCTCCCTTGCTCCAGATGAGGTTGAAAAGGGAATTCTTATTTGGAATCAGTATTTGGATACGAGTCCACAAGCCCTTAAGCACAATTCCTAAATCTGGGACTCTTCCTCCAACTTAGGGTGATCAGAGAAATATCAATGTCTGATTACGAGATTCTGTCCCAAGCTTGTGACAGAATTTCTGAATTCCAAAAACTAATTCTGAAGGACACCCGGCTCTAAGGGTTTTCTCTCTGTTGTGGTTCTGTGAAAGGTCAATATTTGAGGTTGGGATGTAGAAATTATGTGCAGGTTTGAAACCAAAAAAATAAACACAGTGGCTGTCGAGTCAATTCCGACTCGTAGCAACCCTAGTTGTGTCAGGGTAGAACTATGCTTCATAGGGTTTTCAAAGGGTGATTTTCCAGACGTGATTACCAGGCACCCTGGTTAAGTTTGAACGGCCATCTTTTTGGTTGGCTGCTGGGCCCTTAACTGTTTGCAATAACCAGGGACTCCAGTGTGCAGGTTTAGGACTCAACAACTTACACATAATGAACCCCTGCTGCCTGATTCCCTAAATCGGAAAGATTTTCCAGAACATCCCAGGAAACCAGTGGCTTCTGACACACTAAATATTGGCTGTTATTGTTAATAAAACTAAAATGTACTTGATTCTTTGCATAACAAAGAAACCCTACTGTTCTTTCAGCTGGGGCACAAGTTGGGGCACAGACGGGTACATAAAGATGGCCAAAGACCGGAAAAACCACTGTGGAATCGCCACGGCAGCCAGCTACCCCACCGTGTGACCTGATGTGCCTGGATAATGAAGGATCCAGGACAGCCTTTCCAAATAATGGATTTTTACCTTAAAACTGACCAACCCTTATTGTCAGGGATAAAACACTTGAATCATTGAGGATCCAAATTGTGATTTGAATTCTGTGACATTTTTACACTGGTAAAACGTTACCACTACTTTTATTACTGCTGTAAACAGGTTTGTAATATCGACTCGTTGCTTAAAAACTTCTGAATTTTCATTGAAAAAAATGTCTATCTAGTCTTATCTTTTTAAATAAAAGTTAAATTTCACAAGTAGAGGTAGGGTTTCTTTGTTTTTATGCATTAACTTTTCATGTAGGGGAAATGTCACTGGGCTATAAAGACATAACTGGATGTGCCAATGGTGCGTGAGGAGGAAGACAAGGGGGTGGGCTCTGGATTTCTAGTGATGAATTAGCAGACTTTTTTAGCTCTTTCCTTATTGGCTCTCTCTGACCCAACTCTTGAATGGAGCAAATTTTCATAAATGATCTAGAAGGACCAAGCTAATAAAGAAAATATAAAATTAATTAGAGATTAAAAAGTGAATTGGAATGGACATATCCGTGATGTAGATACTAGAAAAGGGCCTTAGAGATCATCTTCATTTGGCCCAGGATAATCATAACTCAGTCAGGTTACATGATGAAAGTCAAGCCAGTTTCTGGAGCATCTTCCCAAATTGCTGGTGAAGACCACATGGTTACATTGCAGTCAGATAAGGGAAAGATATTGGTGGGTTGCCATGGCTGTTTGGTCTTTGCTGATAATAGCTGGAGAAATGGGTTTAAGGTCCACAAGGGACGAAGGATAAGCTCCCACATTTGGGGCTGCAATGCAAAACAGTCCTCCAGCTGAAGATGGAAGAAGGTGAGAGGGGCAAGAGTGAAAGTTAAAGCCCTGGTGGTGCAGTGGTTAAGAGCTCAGCTGCTAGACTAAAGGTCTCTAGTTCAAATATACCAGCCACCTTGGAAACCCTATGGGGTAGTTCTACTCTGTCCTATAGGGTCGCTGTGAGTCGAAATCGACTTGATGGCAATGGGTTTTACTTAATCCTTAGCAGTCTTTCAACTACTGAACCACCCAGAGATACTTTAGAAGAAAGTCCTGGTGATCTGCTTCTGAAAGTTCAGCCTTAAAAACTATCGAACACGTTTCTTCTCAGACACGCATGGGGTTGTCATGAGTCAACTTGATGGCAACTGATTACTTAATCCCTGAATTTTAAAGAAAATAGAAAGAAGGAAAAATTACCCACATTTTGCAGGCATTTCAAAGTCTCATGTTTCCACACAAGCAGAAAATACAAAGAATAGGCTGAAGTATTTACAACTGGGGCCTCAGCCCACAAAGCCTCTAGTAGCCCCTGTCCATCTGTGTTGAGCCATGTGACCTGATGTGCCTGGATAATAGACCTCAATGTGGCCTTCTCTAATAAGTGCTTAAATTTCAAACGTCGAACCTAAACTGACAAATATTCCAACTGGAGGGAAATTTTCTGGAGTTTTGTAACAATGCTAGCAAATGTGGTAGCAGGAAGACTTGAAAGGCTCTTAAGATGAATCCTGTCTGGGTTCAGGCCTAGATTTGATACAGCTAGAATTTATGCAGCACCCACTATGTGCCAGTCATCACACTGGAAGAGACAGTCCCTGACCTCAAAGAGCTAGGTGCTGTTACTGGGAGCAAGGTGATCATAGCAGAATCCCAGGAGGAAGGGAAATCTGACAAGAGCTCAGAGAAGGAGCCAGTCCATAAGGATAAAGGGGCATCGTAGTAGAGACTGGCAAGTTGGAGCTGAGATGAGACTTTGGAGAAACTGCACAAGTAATGGGTTGAGGTTCAGATGGGGCTTGATCCGGAGATGGGCTTTTAAGACACAGGGAAACCACTGGGGAAGGCAGGGGCAATGACTATCCTTGGTTATCTATTGTGTAAAACAAAAACTACCCCAAAACAGCAGCTCGCAAAAAAACATCATCTTTCACATTTCTTGACTTGAGCTGGACGTCTAAGAGCTTTTCACGTGACTGGTCATAGATGTTGGTATTGATTAGGAGTTCAGCGCGGGTGATTGACGAGGTCACCAACATGTGGCCTTTCAGTGGCATGGGTTTCTTTCAGCATGAAGACTGTGTTCTAAGGAGGAACAAATCCAGCCTAAGAAAAGTGCTAAGAGGCCTCAGGGACAACTCAAAGGCCTTTTATGACCTAACCTTAGTCTGAAAATGAAACCTCTGCTGCTGAGTTCTACTAGGCAGGCAAATCACCAAGGACAGCCCAGTTTAAGGGGAGGGAATTAGACTTCCTCTTGATTGCTGAGTGGCAAGGCCACATTGAAGAAGAACAAGTGAGATTGAAGATACCATCATGGCTATCTTCAAAAGATAAAATCTGCCACATTCTGTCTCAGAAGCTTCTCCAAGAAAGGACTCCTTTGTGACTCATCTTTCTTCACCACAACAGGCTAGCTCAGAGTGCTGACCACGGAAGCCTGGAGCTGCAACCCAAGACTCTAAGGAAACTTGTAGGTGCTTAACTGAATGGAAGTGTGAAGACCCCTCAGATGTCTAAACTATTATACAGACATTTGAAGTTTGGGCAACTTTCAAAGACATTAACGTTTATTTAAACTTTTAAATGTTCCAAACTGCATCTCTTGCCAAAAGGCTTTTTTTAAAAAAGCCCAATAAACATGAAATAAATAGTGCTGAAAATAAATTACCAGAAAAATCTCATCTGAAGCATTATCTCCTCTATCCCAGACATCTTCATAGTTTCTCATCCTAGTTAAATTGCAAAGGAAGCAAACCATCCAGCATATTCTGGGGGAGGAATTTGCTTGTGCGGTATGTAGCTATGACACATGAAAATCTTCTTAGAGGAGGGAACCACCAGTTGCCATTGAGTTAATTCCAACTCATTGTGCTCCACAGGGTTCTCAATGGGTGATTTTTCAGAAGTTGATTACCAAGCCTTTTTCTGAGGTACCTCTGGGTAGACTTGAACCTCCAACCTTCTGATTAGCAGCCAAGTGTATTACCAGTTTGCACCACCCAGGGACTCCGAAACCCCATTCATAGCAGCACGTATATTTCAGTCATCATTGTCATGGATTGAATCGTATCCCCCTCACAAAATGTGTTTCAAACTTATCTAGTCCATGATTCCCAGTGTAACCTGACCCTATGAATGATAGTAAATTTCCATTAGTCCTTAAACTGAATGTGATATAAACAGAGCTTATGAATGGGGCTTTGATCTTAATAACAAATCAAAGGCAGGTGAAGACAAGTGGTTGTACAATTCCCAAGGACAGGTGTTAATACCAGAACACCTGATGCACCCGATAATAAAGGCAGCCTATAAGAGCACACATTGGGTTGGGACGCTATTTCCCTGGCTAGCCAAACTGATTACAGGGCCTAATCTACAAAAGACTCTCCAGAAAGTAGTGCAACCATGTGTCACCTGTGCAAAGAACAATCCAAAAATAGGCCCACCACCTCCTAATTTATACCCTCACCCAAAATGTGTTGATTAGATAATAGCAAGAGCTTGCTGAGGCCATTTTGAAAAGTTAGAAAAACAAAAAGAGTAAACCATGTTCTAAGTGTTGGTGTTTGTTGAGGGGGCTAGGGTGGGGATGATGGCAGGAAAAGGACAGATGGGAAGGCCTCATTAACATAACTGCTAGTAATCCCACCTCATTAACATCATAAAGGTAGGATTTACAACATACAGGGAAATCACATCAGGTGACAAAATGGTGGACAATCACACAATACCGGTGTTACTGAACCTGGGAAGGTGAGTTCTGTCCAGAATGCTCAGACCTGCCAATAATCTGGACACCGTCCTTTGAGAAAGAGAAAGTAACTTCATTGCAACGTGCAGAGCAGAGAGCCGGGAGGAGTTTCCTCAGATCCGACTCCTCGAGTTATGGGGAAGCAGGGGCTTATATGCGATCTGGGCAGCAAGATGGTGGCCACACAGGTGTACTGGGGAGAAAATTCTAGAAAGTGGCCAGGAAACAGGAGGTGATGTGGTTTTGTCAGACCTTTCATTTAGGAATAGTTTCTGGGTGATGATTTTTCTTCTGATTGGTTCTGCTTGTTGCTGTGTCCTCTGTTGAGGTCAATTAACGCTCACAGCTGGCCCTTCTGCGCATGTAGGGCGGGCCAGATATGGCTTGGGCTAGTTTAAGGACTAATGGAAATTTATTGGCATTTGTAGGGTCAGGTTACAATTTCCCCTTGAGTTGTGGCAATTCCTTAATCTTAAGGGATGAGGGTCGGTGACTCATCTGGCTACTTCCTGCTGACACGGGGTGGAGTTTTAGGGACCTAAGAACCAACAAGAAATGATTAGCTCCTGGGGGTAGCAGGCAAAGAAGACCTAAGGTGGAAAAGGAGAACTCTTATAGAGCAGAAGAAGGCACACATGGAGCTTGAGGCTGTTTCTTAAAGAACAGTCTTAAGTCTTCTAGGGGCTCGCACTCCCACTCTAGTTTGGGGGGTTGGCTGTCTTTGTAGTCCCACGAATAGTCTGCACTTTGGTGACCCGTGCCTATAGGGGAAGCCTTTAAAGTCTCACCTGGATCTACGAGCAAATACTTCACCCTGGTGTAGTGGATACAAGGCTTGACTCCGGCTACCTTCACCGAGGAGTGGGTGACTAGAAGAACTTCGTAAGGACTGGTCCACTTGGGTTGAAGCTTGCTGAGAGGATGATGGTCGTCCCACTTCTTTATGAGAGCTAGGTTTCCTGGGGCGAAAGGATGAAGAAGGGTATCTGTGGAAAAGAACATACGACTGGATGTATAATGGTTAATAGCTTTCAGAGTTACCTATAGTGACCTAAGATACCCAGAAACACTAAGTTCCTGGACTAGTTAAAGATCATCTGAAGCACTACATCCCCAGGCTGCCTTAAGGAAAGATCTCCCATACAGCATTTCATGGGGGCTCAATTGGAGCCTGCTCCTAGGGGCCACCTGGACTCTCAACAGGGCAATGTAGCAGCTTGATCCAGGGCAGGTTGGTCTCTTGGCAGAGCTTAGCTAATGTCTTCTTTAAGGTGTGGTTCATCTCTGTTTTTCCAGTCGACTGTGGGTTCCAGGAGGTGTGTAATTTCCACCGGATTCCTAAATGCCCTGAAACTTCTTGGGTAACCTTGGATACAAAAGCTCCTCCATTATCGCTTTGAATTGAATAAGGTAGGCCAAATCTAGGAATAATTTCATTAAGAAGAGCTTTGCTTACCTCTGAT